GGAATTATAGTGTTAGGTATAGCTCCTATCACATACAGGTTTTACAGACTGGTTGGGTTGATAACCCTTCTGTGAGCAGTTCACAGCTGTAAAGTCTCCACTGTCAGCTTTGAGCCTTAATCCAAAACTTCATTACAGTTGCCTTTGCTTCAGTCATACCGGTCTCTTTGAGGTCACCGGCTTTGGTGCGAGCCTGTCGGTCCTTTGCACTGTCGCCCCCGTGTGGTTCGTCCCTGCAGGTGAAGATCATGAGCCGCTTATGTGAGAGGCGCAGCTTGATGTCACTGTAGAGGTTGGCACAGCACCACAGGGCGTCTCCTAACGACGTCTCCCCGCTGCCCATGGTTTCTGCCGCTAGCCTGGCACCTTTTTCTCCCCGCAGAGCGTCCACTTCCTGCACTCGCTTTGCACCTGAGGACAAGAAAGGAGCGGACAGACAAATGAAACAGAAGAGGGGAAACAGATTAAATAGGGGTGTAAAAAAAAAAAAGACATGTTAAGCAATCTCAAACATTATTTACAGTGTCATGTGTTAGTTTAAAAAGTGCAGCGTCATACCGGGTTCATCTAGGTCGTGGTACACGTAGACATGCTTGAATGAGTTCCTGGGATTTTTACTCTGCTCTGTGCCGTAGAAAACCAAAGCCACCAGGTCCCTGTCACTACTAATGATCTTACTGGTGTACACACTGCGCACGACCTACAAGGGCAAAACACAGACACTTACTATCATAAGTCATTGGGCGTATCTGAGAACATGTCGTAGCTAAGATTAAGTGGTTTTCCGTTTCCTTTTCTCCAAATAAGTTTTGCAACCAGGATGACTTACACTTGCTGTCTCGATTCATAGTGTTTGAGAATAATCCCAGCACATTTCTTGCAATTCCCAATTTAATTTCCATACATGTCAAGTTATTATAGTAGCAGGAGACTCAAATAAATGGCTCTCTTACCTGCATGGTCATGTCAAAGTTAGAGGGCTCTCCGTCTTCTCCTTTGATGAACATTTCCTTGGAGGCATCAACCAAGAAGACCAAACTGTCTCTCCCTGTGATCTTGTAATCTCCTAACAAAGACAGAGGCCCTGATTGGTTATTGTGTAACTATAAGGGTTTAGAAGATATCATACTTACACATTTAAACTCCTATGTTAAATTACATGATAATAACTGTAGTCCATAACACCAATTTGCATGGCATAATAAAGTCAAGATCAAAGTTTCCATATACAGTGCAATGAAGGAGGAAACATCTAATAATGAACATCAGAGTGCTTGATGGTAGCTGACAATCATTTACACTTAAGATAAAGTTATAATGAGGCTTTCATCTCACCTCCAGATTGCTCTCCTTCCTCTTGCTCTTCCTCCTCGTCTTCATTCTGGTAGTAGGCGTTCCACTCTGCCATTTGTAATGTTACTGCAGGAAACATACATTAGTATGATTGTTATAATCATTGTGCAAAGGACTTAGCCATTCCCAACAATTAACAATGTTTAATTAATATATTATTAATGTTTAATGAATTGAGATTTCAACTTTACTCGGGCATAGTTTACGTTAGCAAGCTAGCTTAGCCTGTGATTAGCAACTGTCCGTATTGTGGAGTCGGTAAGTTTACAAACACATATTTCCCCTAATGCACGCACACTGTATAAGTAAATGAAACACATTAAACAATAACCTGAAGAAGGTGAAGTCATTAGAGGAGCATTCAGTCACTTACGGTGCTGTGTTTGTTCTTTCTGTCTGAAGTCCACACTAGTTTCAATGGCTGGCGCGTGAACGAGCACGCTGACGCGTACGGAGCAGCTCGTCGCCTATTGGACGCTTCTCTGACCAATCTGAGAAACTGACCAATCCCGGTGCAGTGGGCGGGGCCTGTTCACAGAGAGGAAGAAGGTCTCCTCTGACAGTCATGTTGTTGTTTACAGTTAGACAGTGACACGGCGACCTCGGCCTCTTATTTACATTTGCTGCCTTATTTATTACTTTTCTTCATGAATAGTCTGTAGCCTGTGTTTATATCTGTAACAGCCCCGCTTTTTATTAGAGTTTTGTTTGCCAGCTGCCGCTAAGTTAGCGAGCCGGCGGCCGACTCTTGGTGGATGTGAGTCAGCTTAACTTTATGCTAGGCTAGCTACAGCTGTCGCTTTGAAGCAATCCCTTTGTGTCATCATGGACCAAAGTGACTCTTACCCAGTGAAACTGTACATTTACGACCTGTCCAGAGGCATGGCCCGCCAGCTGAGCCCCCTCATGCTGGGTGAGTGTGTGACGAGCTACCTGTTGATGTGTTTTCTGTCAGCTTGTTACATAGATAAAGTTAGAATAAGTAATTCTCATTGAATTCTGTTTTTTTTTTATCATTACAGGGAAACAGCTTGATGGGATATGGTAAGTGCACCTTGTTATAGGCATATTTTATTTAAGTCTTCTCACTAAAGATCTTTAACTACACTCACTGGCTGGCTTGTATTGGAATAAGGTGTTTTGGTGTCTTATAGGCACACTGCTATTGTGGTCCATGGGAAGGAGTTCTTCTTTGTAGGAGAAGGCGTCAACAGTTGTTCACCTGTAAGAATCAGTTTCATCCTTTCCTCCAATACAAAGCACATACAGTATTTAGCCCTTTGCCGCTTTTACTATTATAAAGGAAAAATGCAAATACTTGGACAATAATGGATCAAGAACAGTGTCTGGAAAAAGGCATCCACTGATGTGTGTATGTGTGTCGCGTCCTAGGGCGGCACCCCTTTGGGTGAGCCTGACTCCATAGTGGACCTGGGCTCCACTGAGGTGCCTGCAGAGATCTTTATGGAGTACCTGACTTCACTGGCAGAGTCCACATACGGGTAATTGTTCAGACTCACAACACAGATTGAAATACCAGTGGGACCAGGTCATTGTAGGTACGGGTCACTTTGCCACCACAGGACTTTGACTCTTAATAAACATGTTGTAATTGCTTATTGCTTATAGTTTGGATGTAGGCTACAACTTCCTTCTTTTAAAAACCTTTCAATACATTGAGACACCCTCAACATACTCCAAATTAGGATTTTACGAGCGATAATAACAATTGTGTTAACTGAATTTTCACTTTGGCCTATAGTTCTTTCATATTGAAGAAATGCACGTTATCTCCAGTTTTTAGAAGAGATGCAGGTGAGGAAAGGCAGTAAGCAAGAAGAAGTCTCACAACCCTTAGTTCTTCCTGTTATCTCCCCGTCAAAATGTCTCTGTCTTTTCGTTTCCTGCTGCTCACCCACCCGTCTCCACCCTGTCTGGCCCCTCTGTCATTGCTCTGAATTTACATCACTCTCTGCTCTCTCTCTCTCTCTCTCTGTCTCCCTCGTTCTCCTGGTGCACAGACGTGACAAGTACAACCTGTTTGAGCACAACTGCAACTCTTTCAGCAACGAGGTGGCTCAGTTCCTCACGGGCAAGAAGATCCCATCGTACATCACAGACCTTCCATCTGAAGTACTAGCCACGTGAGTCCACTTAATAAACGCCTTAAAGCTCATCCTATGTCACCAATGCTCTTATTCTCTGTATTAGTAGTTAAACTGTATCTCTGCTTATGCTGATGTCACACTACTAGAAAAATTTAATTCTTAATGTATATTTAATTCATAAAAACGAGAACTTTTTCATATTTGGCCCCTGTCACTTAGTTTAAGTGGTTAGGACATGATGAGTCTGTCAGGTGAGTACATTAAAACATCAGAAAACAGTCTGTTGGTCGGTACCTTCCTCGTGAATAGCAGACAAAACATGGATAACATTAAGTCTAGGTGGGGGAAAAAATACAGATACAGTTTTGAAATTGTCAAAGTCAGTGTCAAACATCTGCAACGTATACTGCTTTGAGTCGCTTAGAGGTATTTTCTCGGAAATAGAGAGGGTTTGTTTGTTTTACTCACTGTTTTGCACCAACATACCCTGATAGAGAGAGAAATCAATTGTAGAGAGATGGAGAAAACCTTTTCAAGCTACACACCCTGTGTGTGTCTTATTCTCAGTTGACTTGAGTTGTGCTTTATCTGTTTATATCCCCTACCCCTTTCCTAGCTGACATACTGTAATTTGTTTCGACTTTGTTTTTGCCTTTAATGTCAGTATAAGCGTACTGTCTGCTGTGTCTCCTCTTTAGGCCTTTTGGCCAGGCTCTCCGTCCCTTACTGGATTCCATCGTCATAAGTCCTGGAGGCAACAACATAACTGGACAGCGATAGACCGAGCTGTGTACATTTAAGAAAATAATTTAAGGGTTTGGGCGAGAGTGGGACACTCACCCTCACCAGCCAGACCCTGATAACATCTCTACCTGTGGTTGACAGGTTGATCTGTGCTATAAGTCACTTTTCTAGCTAACCAGCCATCATTTGGATGGTCTTCTCTATTCAGTTACAGGGTTTAAGGTGTGCCAGCCACTGGGGGACAGGGGACTAAAAAGAGTAGATTTCTACTCTGGATGTGATAAATCAGATGCAGCTACGCATTTGTGTGTTCATAAAGAGAGAGTACTTTACCTGGTTTAACCAAATCATTCTCTCATACTACTACTTAGTAGTAGCCTATATCGTTAGCGTCATCTATGTCCAGATTATTTAATCTTAGATTTTAGAGGTTGAATTTCAGTCCTTTCCTGCAGGCTGGCTTTCTTGACGAACTTTCTTAAATATACACTTCATCCTCAATGTCGCTTGTTATCGAGCGGCCCTGTTAGCGCAGTGTGTTACGATGTAGAATTACAGAAGAGCAACTGGATTGAACAATGTGGGAATCAGATCTGAAGAATGTGTGTCTCTTAGCTGTTTAAAATGTTAACATGTTAAAAAGGACACCGTTAGTTAGTTTTTTCTCAGTATACCTTAACTTATAAATCCAGCAAAGCTGACTAATCTATATTCCTTAGCTTATCATGCTCTTACAACATGCAGCCTTGTCTTTGACCTTGTTTTTAACCCTAGTCATGCCTGACGTGGGTTGTAATGTCTCTAATAAGATCCATGTATCCTTCTCACTTCAGCCTCCTTGTGGCCATTCACACAGGCTTAATATCGATTTTTGTTTTGCATGTACATCTGGACTTCTGAGTTTTCAGATCACATCACTCTCCAGGGATCGCTGTTCATTAGGGGCTGACTCGATATATCCGTCTAAGAAACCCATAGTGATTATTTTGACAGATATTATCATTGCAATATGATGCACAATTAGTGGGAATGTGGATAATATTTCGATCAGTTGTGCAGCCCTACTGTTCATCATGATTTATCACAAATCTTCCGATATTTGGGAAAAGATTATACTTTATTTTGCTTTTTCCATGTGTGTTAATGGGTCTTATAATATCTCTAGGGCTATGCATACTTTAATTTTCTTCATCTGGAGCTGTATCAAAATACACATAGTTGAATATTATCCTAATCATTCTTCTTTTTAACATATTATTTTTGTCATTAATATGAAAGGACTGCACTCCAAGGGCAAGGCCAGAGTACATGAAAGTTAAAAGGAAGAAAACCACTCTCAGTTAAACAGTTGTGCTATCCTTTCTTTGTTTTCAGTGTTTTGAATCTAAAGGGTTATCTTTAGTGTACATGTGTGTAGATGCTTGCTTCACTCAGGAACATCTAATGACCACAGAGCATAGGATTGTGTTATTTAAATACAGGACCAATCGTGTACATTGTTCAGTTTCTTCACTTGCCAAAACTTTCAGTACTAGAGTTTTCTATAGTTTGTATTTACTTGACTAAGTCTGGCATAGAACATTTTAAATACAGAGCGTGTTATGCCAACAGCCACTTAACCTGCATTACTGCAGGGCCATTAGTCCTTCCTTAAAGAAACAAATATATATTGTTGATGCCATCAGTGTTTATTCTAGTATCAAGACAGTTACCTTCCTGAAAAGGTTCCTTGAAATTATTAATTGTTATTTTATTTAACCTATTGCTATTAAGCCTACTTTATGATGCTTAAAGGACATCTGCAGGTAGTTAAACAGTGAATTGAATTGTGTGAAAACTGATTTGATATATAAGCAGAAAGCCTCTAAAGTCACTGATAATTTGCTTATATTTGGATTTTAATTTTTTATTTAAATATTTAATCTGATTTCATTTAAATTAAGTAAACCTGTTGGGTAAAGGTTCTAGATAAACTAAACTAAACTTACTAGAACCTGTCACACTAACCTGTGGAGAAAAATCAATAGAAACGTTGAACCATTATTTATACAAACATTGTTCTTAAACTTATTAATAAAAAGGGCTTATCAGTACTAAATTACTTTGAAACCCTGCACTAAATGTGTGACACTTAACTGAAGTTGTGACAATAAAATATCCTTTATTTCTTAAAATTGTGCTGTGAACTGTTTTGTGATGATCTTCCATTCGGTTAAGATTTCAGGACGCCGACTCCACGTGCTTTGGGTACATGCAGTATCAAGAGCAGCCACAGGGTGACGCTACAGGCTCACTACAGAGGTGGCAGCTAGTTCATGCCACAATACAACAAGGCAGCACATAAATCTTCAATGTGTTTACATTTCTGAAATTACCGGGTGAATTGGTGGTTAGTGGGACATGTTTGTGATTGTTGCTGCTTGGGATCCCAGCTGGGTTAATGTACTGTAAGTGCTGTCAGATGGTCCCTGAGTGCAGGAGGAGCTGCTCTGTGGCTGACAGTGAGACAGCACATGAGCTCTCAATCTCCTGTCGATAGATGGCACATGTGTTACTGCTTTACCGATGAACTTGATCCCACAGGGAATTTGTTTTAGTTTGGTTCAGTGTGTTCAGTATTTACCGACAGAGGTGGCAAAAGTACACGCATTCTTTACTCAAGTAGAAGTACAGAAACTAGATATTTCTTCTGTTGCAATGAGGTGTTTTTTTGTGTGAAATTAGCACATGTTCTAAAATGCAAATTTCATGTCGCCAGCATTAATTAGGAATATTTATTTCCTGTAATTTGAATTGGGTTACGTAGAATGAGAAATTGAGTTCTTTCTTGTTCATCATGAAGTCAGGAAACACTCATTTGCTGATTTGCAGATCAAGAGGTGTCTTATGTCAGAGTTGGCAAAAGTACACACATTCTTTACTCAAGTAGAGGTACAGATACTTGTGTAAGAAAAAAAAAGACTCCAGTAAATGTAGAAGTACTGATTCAACTTCTTTACTCAAGTAAAAGTGAAAAAGTACAGGCTCTGAAACATAGTCAACGCATTAAAAGTAAAAAACACTCTACTTCTCTGAAGGACATTTCTACCAACTGTTTCTGTCCAAAGCTAACTGAAACTTTAAACAGTGTCAAGTATTCCTCACTTTTCTGTTTGATCATGTTACGCCATAAATGATATGCACTGGGCTTCAGATTCAGAAGGTATGCAACGATGCAAAGATGTATGGAAAAAACTACTTAAGTACAGAAACAAAGTATTTGTACTTTGTTACTTCCCCTCTCCAACATGGTCCTCCCAGATCCAACATTTCTTTGATACAAACACAAGTCAAACCAAAGCCTTGTATGAATTTTACAATCTTTAATGTTTCATCTTCAAAAGTGGCACCAGTTACTAAACAATCCTCTGCAAAGAATATTTCTAGAACATTTGGGGTATAAATTAGTTGTTTTGTTGTAATAAGAAATACAGGTACATACAGTATATACACATTTTTGCTACATACTGTATATCACACCAATACACTTTGGATTTACTTGGCTATCATATTTGCATTTATACATGTATCATAGCTCTATTCTCTTATATAATCTTTTGTTAAACAGATAATTTACTCCCAGACAGTAGCCTGCAGAGGTTCATAGTGCCAAAGTGGGATGACTTCCCTCCTTTCACTTGGTGCAAAGAAACTATTAATATCTCTCTCTGCCGTTCAACTGACAGTCCAATATCCATACGAATCTAAATATCACATGTGCAAACCAGTTGGAAACAAATTGCTGCATTCTCACAAATGTTTCACTGCAAATCAAATTCATACTCACAAAATTTCACACTACTTGTTTTTGCACATTGTCCCATTCACCAGTCAGTATTGTGTAATCACACTATAGAAACAATATCAATGCTTTAGACAACCTGTCTGCTTTATAGTCACTTTTTCGAACACTACAGTTAATTTGTGCCACAGTGTTTTTCCACTAATGTTAAAAACCCACTGCAATAATGTGACATACAGTATAGTACAGTACAGTAGGCCTGATTTATCTTCTTCTATTGCACATTAGAAATTGCACAACTCAGCTAATATAGATCTCTACGCATCATGTTTCATTAAATAATATTCTGTTAAAATCTGACATCAACAGCAATTATAATAAATACTCTTAGAATTAAAATGACTTAGTTCATACAGCCCTTATTCAAACAAAATATATAGGAAATTCCATTAAATAAACATATTTACACATTATTCATAAAGCAGAACACATGATTTCAGATGGTTTGCACTACATAAAACCTAAAAACATCATCATGTTGTTGTCGTGTGTTCAAAAAGATTGAATCATAATCATCATCAGAAACATTTGTCTAAAGAAAAATGTGTTTTACCTACAAAGAACAGAGGGGACCGTTGTTCAAAGTGGAGAAAATCACTGGAAGCACTTGTTCAGGTTCTCAACACAAAAACAATTATTCTGAAACGCCAATCTTCTATTGCTTAAAAATACTGATTTTGTGTCTCTAAACCAGCCGATCTCAACATTTCTAACTCACAACATCAAGCATGGAGAGGAAATGATGCCTGCTCAGGATGCTTTGCTGCACTGGTAATGAGAGACCGTGAGTAATTACAGACAACTTTTGAGTCAAATTATGAGCCAACAAAGAATAAGCAACGTGTTCGGTGGAAGAGAGACAGGTGTTTGGTTTCTTAACCACAGTGAATTTGATTTGTTAATGCTCCATTTTGTAGAACTTGTGACTGTATAGAGAGTTAAAATCTAAGAAACGGGTACAGTATGTTTGTTTATGTGTTTATGGATGAGAGCATTGGGCTCAGCCTGCAGCAAGACGCTCATAAAACATCACCTCTTGAGATCAGTCATTGATGAGACCCTGTGTGGTGCACTGTGAGAGACTTGGATGTCACGAGGGTAAATATGGAACGTACTTTGTTGTGGAGTGGCAGTAACGTTCAATATCTGGGTGATTAATCTGCGGGACCTCCAAACTATTTGGCTTCAACCAAAGCTGAAAAACATTTTTGGTATTTGGTTTATTTATATATTCATGCTGCTCAATTACTGGGATTTAGAGACATTTCTTTGTGTAAGGTTAACATTTTGGCAGTGGAAGGAAAAAACTCATCTTATTCCATTGTCTTCCAACTCATATTTTCCAGTGGCATTGTTCAAATATAAAAATCAGTGATTGTGTCCATTGAGTTTATGACAACTTTCACAAAGGATGCACTTTATATTAAATGCTTTTAGTTGCAGTCTTTATATAGCTGAGAGTGTTAATTCCTTCCTCTACTTGTGGAACTATTCATGAAAAAAAG